CCTCTGCCCCAGAAAAGTGTGCAGAGAAATGACCCAGCATTAGGTGAAGGGGAGGGTGTACAGCTCTCCACCAAGGAGCATGCATGGTGGGGGTGTCCATGGAGAGACCCCAGTGTATTTCAGGAGCTCTGAAGAAAGAGCAAAGCAGGTTCTGGTCATCCCTGAAGAGGTGGGCATTTGTTCCAAAAGAAAGCCGCACCCACCAGACCTGAAGCCAGGAGAGATGGCCCAGCACCAGGCCATGTGGTCGTGCCTGGCCGCATAGAGCCTGCTGTGTCCCTGGCCTTAGAGACCAGTGAAGCAGGTCCTGGCCCTGTTTTCCTTCTGCGTCTTTATCACTGGAAATGCCTGTGCCCAGCCCAGTCAGAGAGCAGTGTATTTTAAAAAAGCTTCTCTCTGTGCATGGAATGAACATGCTTCCACGTAAGCAGCAGAACAGGAGCACCTTGGCAGAGGCCCAAGACCACACCTGCCAGATGGGATCCCTGAGGTGCCCACGGAGGCTGGGCACTGTGCCATCTCTCTATCCAAGAACATCACCACCTGACGGGCTGCCGGGAACAGCCAAGCCCCTTGGACCTTGCTCCCAGAAATCCAACCACACTGAGGGCAAACATGCCAGGCCCCAGGGCCACACTGACACGCCTGGTGAGGGCACCGCCCAGCACACAGCTGTGGCCTGGGGGCCAAATGCGTTCTGAGTGCCCACTCTGACTGTGGCGGCAGACGCACATCTGCATGGCTCAGACTGACTAAAGACTCTCACAGGCCTGTGGGTGTTCAATACAATGCCACAGACAATGGCAACCATGGTGTCTCTGCCCTCAGGTAGCCTAGGACTTAACCTGACAAACAAAAGGGACATCAGGGGAGTCTGTCTATGGATAACGAAATGCCACCCAGTGTGGTAAGGACCCAAAAGGCAACTGGACTCTGAGCTAGGTGCCGACATGGCCCAGGAAGGCGGCCTTGGAAAGGTAAGGGGCGTTCAGCAGAAAAAAGGAAATGCATTCTGGGTGAAGGAAGACCAAGATCAAGGCCAAGGCTGGGGGCCTCCCTGCTTGCTGTCTGGTGGCCTGTCAGCCTGTTTGCCTAAAGAGTTATACATAGGTGAGGTGTCAGAGCAAAAAAGATGACCTGAAGGGCCATTCCACTCATTTTTTGTCTCTGGGTAGAAAAGACCTGCCCCATCTCCAGGTCCCCGGGGAGCTTCCAAGTGTTTGTCTGTTACGCAGCCCCCTATGGGAAGCAAGATATCCTAGATCCTGGGGGCAGGGGGAGGTTCTTGTTTGCATTAGCTGATGTGGCTCCTGATCCCACATGCAGAGTGAAGCCAGTACAGCCACCCTGGCTGCAGCAGACTGAACCGGGAGTCCATGTCCAAGCCACACCACTGGGAGCGGGGGGTGGGCAGGCTAACACTGGGCAGTCTTGCCCACTAGGGCTGTGCCATACTGAGTGGTAGTAAACCAACCTAATTGTACCCTCTTCACAGGAAAGCAGGGAGACTACTGAACAGGAGGAAGTGAGCCACTTCAGCTCGGTGCATCCTGGGGAAACTGACCCCTTACTCTGGTGCTGCATGAAACTGGCTGATGTCCCAGTCTGGAAATTTGGGGACTCAGAAAAACTGTTGGGCTAGCTCTCACTCCTTTTCAGGACTAAAGGTTACCTCTTCCCCAGGGCTCCTCAGAGATGGCTAGCCTGATCCCAAGGCTCAGGGAGGGACACCTGGGAAAGCCTGAGGCCTGTAGCATTCGGGCTGGGGAAGGGGAAAGGTGTGGCCTCTTCCATGCTCAGCTGGCTTCTCTTATCCCCATGAGCACCCACTCCGGACAGCTCCAAACCCACAGTGAGCTTTGCATCCAGGCTGAGCCCCAGCCAGGCAGACAGAATCCTAAAGCTCTGTGAGCTCAGTCTGAGGAAGGATACCAAGACCTTGGTTGTAGCCTGGCCAAACTCAAAGAAGGGTTGATTCTTCTGTTTCTTATCATCTTTGCTATAAAAATGTGTCTTAATTTGCAGAGCCAACGCAGTTTCATACACTCTGTAGCATTTGCTCTGTTCAGTATCCCAGATGCCCTTTGGGGAATGAAGAAACACAACTCAGATTATCTGCTGGGTCCAAGGTCAAAGTAGACTGAGGATCAGAAGGCAAGCCTCTAGGCTGACCCTTGACCCATGCGCTTCTCATGATTATATTGTTCCTAAAGGGATGGGGTCATGCTCTGCTCCTTCAAGGCAGCTTCCGGGCATACTGCCTGCATCACTGGCCACGGGACTGCTAACATTAAGCATGTGACAAGCACAGACAGCTGGAGAGTCTCTAATCAGGGACCCCCTGGTCTTAGATTTGAATGAGGGGCATTCAGAAGCAGCAGCAGCAGCAGTCACCACAAATTGCCACACAGGGTCCTCAGTCTCTGCTTCCATAGTGGGTGGTGGTGTGGTACCAGACTGCAGCATATGCTAAACTTGGGGTTTGTGGACCTTCTGAAATTCTTGCAAGCACGGGTATGCTGGTATATTTGTCTGGGAAGAGTGTCTTTCGAGACCTCAAAAAACTCAAGGACTTGAGGTTAAGATTGCAGGGATTAAAGGTCTCAGTCAACCTCCAACCTTGGGGCTCCGGGCACACACAAACCCTGCAGCCAAAGGGACACTGTCAAACATAGGAGCAAGTGCCCTGTAAATGTGGGAGGCTGTTGCTGTCCTGGCTGTCATTAGTCCTGCAAGGTCCCCAGTACCCACCCTGTAAGTTCCAGACAACACCACAGTAGGACTGACCACCCTGAGCTCTGCATACACCCGTCTTTGCCTACTGTGTTATGGAAGACTCTCCCTGGCCCCACCCCCAGGGAGGCCCTGGGTGTTTTCCTCCCAGTGACTGCTCATCCCCCTTCGGAACATCACCACCTTCAGGCTAGAGAAGGAAACTAGATGGAAAACCACAGTTTGGGAGAAAGGACCACTTCAGTGCACAGCACAGACCCAAGCCCCTGAACACCCTCAGGGTCCTACAAAGCTGCCTGTCTCTCATGGATACACAGACGCCAGGCTGCAGGGCTGCAGGCATGCCCATGGCTGGCTCTGGAGAGGCCTACAGACCCTGCCCACAGCTGGGGGACAGAGAAGCCAACTTGCAGGGGAGGGGCAAGTTATTCCTCTGTTTACACAAAAAAGGGGAAAGTCTGATTACGCCCATCCTGCCCCCCCCAGTCCTGCCACTAAGAAGGACATCAGGACACAAACAAGACCAGTATTTCTCAGGAAACGCTCCCTGTCTCAAGGACCCCGTGGGGCCACAGGAACTTATCTATTCTCCACAAACCAGGGATAAGGTCAGCTTCAGCATGTGGAACCACACTCAGCCCAGATGAGCCGGAGGCACCCACAGCATTGGTCTCCTGTGACCAGCCCTAGAGAATTCTGACTTCACTTTGTTCTTTTCCCCTCCAAGAAGGGCTTGTCTTGTCCCCACATGTAATGCCCCTCCCCCTTCTGTTTCTCCAGAAGCACCCACCCCAGTGCTGGGGAAACAGCACGTGAAACAGAACCTTCTTACTGTCTGGTGTGCAAATGAAATATGATGGTCTGGAAAATCAATTATTCTGTTTAAAAGCAAGAGTTTCCACAGAGGCCATGCACTGGTCTCCAATTTTTCATGCACTGGTCTCCAATTTTTGAAAGACAAAAAGAAATACACATAGCTAAAGTTCTATGGTGCATAATGCCATCTTTCTTTGATGATTCAATTCAGAGAAGGCACCTGGGAATCTAGTGGTAGCTCAGGCTGCATTCTGTTTGGAATAGCTTGAGGCAAGAGCTGACCCCCTCCCACCCCCACCCCAGGTCTCTGCTTCCCCTTCCCGGTGCAGTGTGCATCTTGGGACCACACACTCCAGGGTTCCAGCAAACTAGATATGAGGGGGGTGAATGCCCCAGAATCAGGAGGGACATGGATCTGAGTAGGTTTTGGAAACTCCTCCCAGGAGGGTGCATCTACATCCTCTTCAATCAGTGATGGTTAAACTTGAGAAATGCCAGCTGTGATCCCCTCTCCCATCCACATAAATACCAAACTGATGGGGTTAGTCTAGCAAGACTATGGGCCCTGGACTTGACACCCCCAAAGCTGTGTGACGACAATCTATTTGGTGATGCAGGGGGTACACCCTCCTGCCTCTCTCCCACTCAACAAAATCCATGGACCAGACCACCCTTCCCTCAAACGAAATGAAGGAAGGGAAACAAGCCCATGAGAGGTGGCTGACAGCGCGGGGCCCCAGGGCAGCCCTGAAGCAGAGGGGAGGGCCAGGTCTTCAGGCAGTCGCTAACCAGAGGGACAGGAACAGGCAGAGGGCAGGGCGCTGGCAGGTTCCTGAAGTTTGTGCAGCCAGATAGTCCCACAGGAAACCAATTCAAGTCCCCTCTCTCCTCCAGTGTTCATTCAGTAGGGGCCCATGGCTGAGCACCTATCAAAGTTATTCAGGGGAGATAAAACACTGTCTCCCACCTTAAGCGCAATCTAGAATGCCTCCAGGCGGACAACGACGCAGGGACTGGCATCTCAGCAGCTCCAGGGCCGTGCCCTTAGATTCCCTGGGGAAGCTGACAACTATGAATTCCTTGAGGACCCTTGGCAGAGGGTGACTGCCAGTGGGTAGAGAGGAGGAAAGGCACCTTGGCCCAGGCCAGGCAACCCTCCCCACGTCCCCTCTACCCAAACATTCCTGGGACCAGCCTCCTCTGCCTGCGGAAGAGAGAAGCGGGAACATTATTTCAACAGGTTTCCAGCAGCCAGCCCAGCCTTGCCAGGCCATTCTTCCTCAGCCCAGTCCCGAGGCCTCAAATTCCGCAGGAGCACCGTGGCACCTGCTACCAGACCCCGTTCCATCCCCGAGACAGGGGTCCCTGGGCGGCGCCCCTCGGCGTTCCCCAGCCTCCCCGGGAAGGGGCGGGGCGCTCTCGCGGCCGACGCGCCCCCTCGCCGCGCTCACCTGGCGTAGGTGCTGCAGCAGCGTCCCTGCCTCCTCCCGCCGGCCCTGGCGCACCATCCGCAGCAGCTCCTGGACCATGCTAACGCGTCTGTGGTAGGGGGGTAGTCCCGCGCCGACGCCCGCGCGCCCCGCCTTGTCCCCGGCGCGCAGCAGCAGCGACGCCCAGAAGTCGGGCCGTTCCCGGCGGGGACCGGGCGCCGCGCCCGGGCTGCCTTTCTCCGCCAGGCTGCCCTTGGTCTGCCGGGTGCCCATACCGCAGCGTCCCCGACTGGCGGCCCGCCTCCCGGGCTGCAACTTTGGGGGAACTGTTGCGCGCGGGCGGCGTAGGGCGGGGGCGGTGGCGTTGGTGGCCCGCGCTCCCCTCGCTCCGCCCTCCGCGCTCCCCAAGCGCGCTCCACTATGCTCCCGCCGCCAGCCCCGCCCCATCTCTGGCTTGGCTCAGGCTTTAGCTCCCGCCCCTGCGCCTGGGCTCTGCGCCGCAGCGCGCCTCTCCTCCTTCCCTCCCAGCCCCTTCCCTCAGCTCCTCTTCCCTCCCTTCCCTTCGGCTTCCTGCCCCTGCGCTCATGGCTGGGGGCAGGCGAGACTCCTTCTGGCCTCGGCTCCAGCACCGCGCCCCCTATGGGTCACCGTGCCACTGTGCCTCACGGGGAGCAGTGGCGCTGTGGCTACCGGGGCGGGCAGGCCCTAGGAGCCATCGCTTGTCTCCACTAGGTTTCCCAGACGCTTCCACTACCTCGCGTGAGGGCGAGGCCCGTGGGACAGGAAAGGAGACAGTTCGTGCATCCCGGAAAGTTTAAAGCTCGAGGCCATCTCTCCTCACCAGAGTCAGGTTTCTCAAAGTGAGCTCTGCTGAGGATCAGTGCCCAAGTCCTCTGAAGCGCTGGTTGAAAACGTAGACTTCTGGGCGTTGCCCCAGATCCACTACGTGAGAATCTCTGCGATGGCATCTGGGCACCTGCGGTTTTAGCCAGCCCTTCGACTGATTTTGATACACGCTCCTTTGACACTTGGCTGCCGGTGGTGGTGGTTGGCGAGTGGACCCAGAAACTGTGCAAGGTTGTGTTTTGTGTGTGTGCCTTTCTATGCAGAAAGTCCATCTTTTGCTTCTATAAGTCTCTCAAAGAGTCTAGACCAGAGATTTTCAACCTTTTTCAACTCATGGCACACCACAAATTAATTAGTAAAATTCTGTGGCACACCAAAATTATATTTTTTGCTGACCTGACCAAAAAAATAGGTATAATGTTGATGAACTCACACCGGACAGCTATCGTTGTGTTGGCTGTTGTCGTTTTTTTTTAAATTTGACAATCTAAGGGAAAGGAGGTCCATGACTCTGACTAAATAGTCAGATATTGCATGTTTTAAAAATTATGGCGCACCTGTTGAAAATCTCTGGTCTAGATCCTCAAGGTATAAAGAGCCTCTGTCTTCTGTTTGCATTCTCACACCTCTGGAGAGGGTTCCTGGGGGTAACGCCCCCGCCCTCCTTCCACACACAGGAAAGCAGAGACATGTCCATAGGTAAGCCCAGCTGCACACTCCCTCCCTGGCCACCTCTGCCAGGCCCAGCCCATAAGAGACCAGATCCCTCTGGAAAGCCAAGCAGGGTCTCCAAAGAGAGAAGGCTAAGTAAGCACCTGGAGGACCTGCCCTGTGTCACAGGCCACAGACCACCCTAGCAGGCTGAGGTGGCTGTCCTGGGCTCAGCCAGAGGGCTGCAGGGGCAGCACTTGTGTGTGTTTGACTCTGACCCAGGCCCTAGGTGCTGTTTTGGGAGGAAAGGACAGTGTGGGCTGTAGGGGCAGGAGAGCCAGATCCCAAATCAAAGAGAGCTGGGACCCACCATGTGGTGACTGCTAAGCACCAGGCCAGTCCTAGTGACTTCCTCTGTCATGTTGGGATAAGAACACTGTCAGGAATCAGAAGAGTAATGGGATGCAGAAACTCCAAGCAGAACACAGGTGTTCCACCAAGGAGAGTTCCTTTTACTCCTCTGGGACCAGTCACTGGGTTTTCCCACAGGGCTTTTCTCTGTCGGTGCTGAGTACCAGGAAGCTGCTGTCTCCCTCAGCAGGTTCTCTGTCCTCCGGATGCCCACTTCCCAGTGATCATCCATCCCTGCTGGCAGAGGGCACTCGGTCTCCCTGCCAGCTGGCCTCACAGGGCTTGGAGTGTCACCTTCCAAACGTGCCTGGCCAGGGAGAGCTGCTCACCAGGCCCCTGTCTAGGGACAGTGGACTGAGCTAGCCTGAGCTAGCAGGTTGGCCTGCCCAAGGGTATGGGGCTGGGACAAATGCCATTTCTGTGGCAGAGGGCTCAGGCCAGCTTTTCACCTGGGATCTGAATGTCACCCTTCTCCTCTAAAGAGACCTCATTTCATCTTTGTTCCCCAACTTTTACCACTTTTCTGGCTTGTTCTCCTCAGTATCTTCCATCTATTTAGAAAGAAAACTTTCATTTGTCTGATACCCTCCAGTCACCGATGGCCCACCTCTCTTTCCTTTTCAGCTAAGCTTTTGGGAAGTTCCTTACATTTTATGCCACACCTTCTTTCCCTCCATTCATTTCTTACCCACTCCAGTTTGGCTTCTGGCCCCACCGCTTCCCTGAGAGGACTCTTGCCAGTAAAACCTAGTTGCTAAATTTAGTGGCTATTTTTCAATCTTCATCTTATTTGATTTTTAAGCAGCAACTGATTCCATTGCCAACTATGTTTTTTTAAATCTGTACATTCTTTGTTAAAAATTGATTTGAGAGAGAAACACTGATTTGTTGTTTCATTCATTTATGCATTCATTGGTCATTCTTGTATGTGTCCTGACTGGGACCTGCAACCTTGGTGTACCGGGATGATGCTCTAACCAGCTAAGCTACCCGGCCAGGGTACCAGCTCTGTTTTAATTTAAATGCTACTTTACTCTCCCCCAGGTTTCCTTCCTGGGGTCCCCTGGGAGCTTCCTTTCCTACCCTCATCCTTTACTTTTTAGTGTTACCTAGGGCATGTACTCAGACCTCTTCCTAGGCAGTGTTATTCACATGCAGGGCTTTAGCTACCACCACACACTGATGACTTCAAGTCTTTCTTTCAAACTTAGAAGCTAATAAATTAACCTGTCACTGATTCACGGTTGCTGGCAGAGACACAAGACTCCTGGGTCAGAGACGCAGGACTTTGTTCCTGGGCACACAGCATGAGTGTTGGTATATTTGCATAATTTCCCTTTGCCTTTGAGTCCCACAGGGGTAGCATGATGGGCCCAGATGGATGCTCCACATGCAGCAGGTTTGTGTCGCAGCTGTGGGATACCAAGCCTGGGAATCTGCCGCTTCTTAGGCAGCAGTGAGCAAACCTGAAGGAAGACAGTATCTCATTGTGACACAGCACTGAGGCGACAGTAGGTCAGGGTCTTGTGTTCTTGGCACACACAGTGAGATGTGAAGCAGTGAGAGAGCCTCATGGAGGACTGCGTCCTCCAACCACGGGCGCTGCATACCCAGCTAGTGAGCGCTGCCTTCCCAACCTGCCGTTGCCGTCCTCAGCAAGGGCAGGACAGAAATGCTGGAGCGCGTCACTGTGCCCTCTGGTCTCTCTTAGTATCTGCAGCTGGTCAACCAAATCCAGTTAATGATGCAAAGAATGGGAGCTCTCATCTGTGCTCACTCACCATCGGCTTGGTCTTATGCTCGGTCCATTGTGTATGTTACACTGTCTCATTCTTTCAACAACTGTGAGATCAACTCTATGACTGTCTTGATTTTACAGGTGAGGAAATGGGATCTTAGGCCAAGTGATTTGCCCAAGATTGCACAGATAGTAAGGGGCAGAGCCGGGACTCATGCTTTCCAGTCTGCGTGTTGTTAATATTACTTTATGTCATTGGTCCTACTGCTTAAATATTATACCCTACGGCCACTGCCTTGTGGAGGAGCTTTCATTCTTTCACCCCAATCATTGCATTATGATAGCCTGCTTCTCAACTTTTCGCCCCACCTCCAGTCTTGCCCTTTCTGGTGTATCTCTCATGTCATGGTTGGAACGATCACTGTAAAAAGGGGACGCACACACAAGCACACTCGCCTCCCCTCTTCAGTGATTCCTATCACTTTTATTTTTTTTAATGATTTTATTTATTTATTTTTAGAGATGGGGAAGGGAGGGAGAAAGAGAAGGAGAGAAACATCTATCTGAGAGAGAAACGTTGATTGGTTGTCTCTTACATACCCCTACTGTGGACCTGGCTTGCAACCCAGGGATGTGCCCTGACTGGGAATCAAACCAGCGACCTTCCAGTTTCTAGGGTGTTGCCCAGTTCACTGAGCCACACCAGCTGGGGTGAGTCCTATCACTTTCAGTCCACATGCCTGGGTTGCATGTAATGTGGCACTGCTGTCTGCAGCTGCTACACTGTCCTCAGGTTCTTCTCTGCACTTTAGTGTCATCCTGTGTTACTTATACCTCCTTCAGGATGTGACACTTTGTGCCTTTGCTCATACTGTATTGTCTTCCTGGGATGCTCTTCATCCCTTAACAGATGCCCACTTGTGCCACCTCCTTCAGGAAGCCTCTCCTGAATGCCTCCCATGCTCTCCTCCATGTGCCTGTAAAACCTTGCGAATATGATAGAACATCTTACGCTGTGTTTCTACTGATTGTTGGTACATGCTGTTCTTCTGCCTGGAGCATCCTTCTTCGTCCCCTTACTGGTCAATCCCTCCTCATCCTTTATTATTTTTTAAAAAGATTTAATTTATTTATTTAGAGAGGAGAAGAAAGGGGGAGAGAGAGAGAGAGAGAAACATTGATCAGTTGCCTCTTGCACACTCCCCAACAGGGGACTGGCCCTTAACCTAGGCACATGCCCTGACTGGGAATTGAACTAGCTACCTTTCACTTTGTGGCATGATGTTCAGCTGAGCCATGCTGGTCAGGACCCCTCCTAATTCTTTAGACTAAACTCAGGTGTCACTTCCTCATTGATGACTTCTAGATTCACTCTCCTCCCCCTGGCTGAAGTCAGGTGTCCATCTGGGGTGTTCTCTAAGTCTTGCTGCCCATGTTTCGTGCTGCTGTGATGACCTGTAAACACTCCCGGGCAGGCTGTGCTCCAGGGCCTGCAGAGCACGGTGCCTGGTGCACTGGAGGAGCCAAAATAAAAACACAAACACTTGCTGAATGAGAAAGCCCATGACCACTCTATGTGTTAGCCTAGTGCCAGGAACCCGGGACATGCCTGGAGCTCAGGAAGAGGACTAAGTGAACAGGAGCACTGAAATGCCGGTTGGGTTTGTGGACGCGGAGGCTACTCATGAGCTAGCTCTAGGAAATTAGTGTTCAGGGAATGAAGAGGCAAATGGGAGGCAAGTGTTGCTTTTTTTCCCCA